CAAAGTATGCGTTGCAGGTCGACGTCGCGCTCGTCGACGCAGATTTGTCGAAACATCATGCGTATATCAGCACAGAAAGCAAATTTGTAAGTTCGCCAACGGAGTAGCACCGTCCAAATGTCACGCTGGAGCTTTGGTCCCCGACAAAGTACGTCGTTCAAGCTCACTCCAGTAGAAGTGGGCCTGGAGGCGTCGAACACGACACGAAGCTTCGGACCGTCGTTTCCCTGCTGCCATATGCCGTGATGCGGTATGTAGTTTGAATGGCTCTCAGGTGCATCGATCTCAGATGGCTGGAGTCTCCTCATGTGACCCATCTGTTCATACGTGTCCATGAAGAGGCGATACTCTTCGGCAAATTCCGGTTGACGATTCATGCGGCGATGCAAATTGCGCAGCGTTGCACGAGCCGACGCTTCGCTAGTTCCCAACGTTCTGGCTGCATCAGGCTTCACAGGAAGCCGCACTACATAGCGACCGGTGTTATCTCGCTGATGCTGGGCGAACATCTGTTCACAGTGTCTGTCGGTCGGTGATGATCGCTGCGCAGGTGGAACGTCCTCCAACTCCCAAAAGCGTTGGAGCAGTGCAATAAGTTGCGCGTGCCACTTGGGGGTCTCCTCATCCTGTAGACAAGAGAGGCAAGTAGCAGCCTCACGAGAGCCGCGCGTGCGTTGTCGACCAAAGACCGTCCAGCCAAAAGCGGTGTTCTGAGCAGCCAAGTCGCCGTGGCTGAGGAGTCCCGGGCGCAGCAATGCCGGCAGCACGTTAGCACCGATGAGCAACTCGATCGGGCCAGGCTCGTTGTAGTAGGCATCGGCGAGCCTCTCAGAGTTCCATGGAGCATCGGCAGTCGTGGGAAAAGCCGAAGGCGGAGTCGAGATGCCAAGATGTCTCACGCACACTGAGGTGCACGTCACCGGACTAGGCTGTCCGTCCGGGTAGATGAAGATAGTCGCCGTTTGTCGAGCCCGATTGGCGATCCCGCCGCCGATAGCTCGTATGTCGATATTGGCAGAGTTGAGAGGAGCGCCGATCCGCTTTGCCACCCTCATGGACATGATTGTAATTTCAGAGCAAGCGTCCAAGATCGCTCGCACCGCTGTTGGTCCTCCGAGAGAGCTGCCGACGCTTACAAAAGCGGTCGGCAAGACCGCTAGTCAGGATGACATATCGACCTCAGAGTTAGCCCCGTGGGTGTTCTCAGTGCTTGTCGCAGGGACCTCGAAGGTGGCGAGCGTTGTACGTTGATGCTTCGACGGGACGCCGTTGTCTTGTGATGATCCTGGGCGCTTCGAAGGGCTGTCATGTAGCAAGGTGTGGTGTCCGGCATGGCAGATCTGGCACGTAGACTGAGATGGACACGTACGAGCGGTGTGGCCAGGCCGTAAGCAGTTGAAACAAAGCCGGTATCGAGCTACTCGAGCTCGTCTCTCGTGCGGCTCCAACGTTGCAAAGTCCGTGCAGTGGCCGATGTAATGATCTCCATGACACTGAGGGCAGTCTCGAGAGGTCGGGTGACTTGTGACATACGCACGTGCTGATCGGTCAGCCCCTGTCGGAGCTGGAGGCTTGCTAGTTGAGAAGGTGCTCGAGGAACAAGCAGCCGCCATCCTGCAGCGGCTGCCGAGAAAGTCAGTGAGCGCTGCGAAAGAGGCCAGATGATCTCCCTTTCTAGACGAGCCTGGTTGATCAGCTGCGTCAAGGCGCTCCAGCTCAGCCTCCCAGGTCTTTCGTGTCGACCCGTCCATGCACGACGCTGCGATCGATACAAACCAGTCGTCCCATGCGTCGACTGATGGCCCAGAGTGTCCATGAGATGCTGAAGTGCTTTGACCGAGTCTTCACGGATGGGTTTGAGCGAACGCAGAGCGCTGAGATGATCCTGGACAAGGAGTCTTCGGTTTTCGAATCTGCCCTCCAGTAGGCTCCACGCTGTCGCGTAGCTGTCGTCGGTCAATTTTAAAGCGCTGAGGGCCGAGCTAGCCTCGCCTTTTACCAGCGTCTTGAGGTAATACAGACGCTCTACGTTGCTCAGCGTTTCGTCGGTGTGAACCAGAGCCAAAAACAGGTCACGAAAAGACTCCCAGTCCTCGCGGCGGCCCGAGAACTCAGGCACGTGGATCTGCGGCAGGCGTGAACGTGACTGTGTTGAGACAGGCCAATCTCGACGAGCAGCAGCAGCATCAGACTGACGCTGCTCCAATGTCTCAAAGCCGGCCTGGGCGTCGTACAGGATACTCTTCGCCTCGATATATGCCGCTTGAACACTGGCGTAGACATTCCTGCCTAATCCTCGATGCTCGGGGTCATCCGTCGGCAACTCGATATGGTTTCGTTGGAAGTCCGACCAATACTCTTCTAATAGTTCGCCTCGTGCGCGGATCCGACCGAGCGTCCAATCTGATCGGGGCTGATTTTTTATAGTGTCGCACAACTCGTTGATGATTTCGGCAAATTCAGCCTGAGCCTCGTGACGCATCAATCTGCGAACAAAGATCATCACGGATGAGAGACAGCTCGACGCCATGTTGAAGGGGAGCACCGACATTCACTTATCGTCTCGCGTGCATCATGGTCTCACAGTCTAATCACGAGATTCAGAACTCAGACGTTCGTTTCACCATCGACCGTTAATCGCATAGTCTCGCATCTCCGGACATAACCTCACTCGCATCTCGAAAGTTCGCTCGATACCTGCTTGAGGTAGAGTCGGCGTCGCTGATTTCTCGCGCGCTTGCTTCATTGCCAATCGTTCGATTGCCGCGCAAACGACAGCGTCGCAGACCAGGCGGGAGCATGCCTATCGTACGCCATTTTGTCGATCGAGCGCGTCTCGGCCGTGAAGCGACCGAGGTCCCGAGACACTTGCATGCACGTCGTGCCCTCGATTCTCCAAGATTATTCGTCGCACTCGCTTCATATTCGTGTATATGAATATGAATATGATCGTAATCATTCGTGCTCACAAGGAGAATTCAACTTACCTGTCGGCCATCTTGCCAACAGTGCCTCGAGGATCCGGCTCCGAAGGACCAAATTGTTTGTAGCGAAGCGAGGTGTGGCTTGAATAACGACACACGAGACGAGACTTGTAGTTGAAATGGAGTATTTATTGATTCTTTGTAGTTGAACAAATTAATTTACCCTTTTGGGTTTACAGAAAAACTGATAATAATAGCTGATAAGAAAGTAATAATGTGATGCTCCGTGGCGGTCCGTTCACGGCCGCCTCTCGCAACCGACTGACTGGCCGGCAGTGGCGCGGCGACGCCATGCACAGTGCGTCGAGTGACGGTCCGCGCGGCAATTTTGAATGATGCATATATTTTCTCTCTACAATATTACTTCTAGTATTCACCATTTACCTTTTCGGACTTTCGCATGCAAAAAAATTAGCCCTGATGAGCAATTCAAACATTAAAAATCACTTTGCCCTTGCAAGTAAAAATGTGATCAAATTTATCACATACGTAATCTTGTTAATAACAAACAAGTCATAAATAATAAATTAGTCATATAGCTCGAAGCGCCGAAAAAGACTTCCTTAGATTACGTTACGAACCTGAGTTGCCGAATTAACAATAACCATAATTCTATCGTTATAACACGGGATTCTTTGTCAAATAAGTACCGCTTTTATTATTCGAATATAACGTTTTTCAATATTATAATAGCATGATAAGCATCCAGAATGTCGCTTTGTTAGGATCAAAATAAATGTTTCCTGGGATATCTACGAATTCTACAATATCGCTGTAGGAAAAACCTCATCGATGCACTGGGATTCGTATATGCGCGTCAACAAAAAGAACTTTGGTACGTCACAATTTTCAACATTCGAGTCCTTAAATATTAATCTTCTGTCTGAACCGTATTTACAATTACCGAACATGCGAAATTGTTGATATAATTTATTTCAGCAAAGTCAATGTAGCATCGTTTCAATGGATTTTCAGTAGTTGAAGTTTGGATCACGTTTATCTTGGTATAAATGTCTTCTGCGGCGTTTTTTTCGGTCTCAATCTTCTGTTCGGTTGGAAAGACGTACGTATTACAGTCGATGAGGGCGAACGATACTGTAACATATGAGAAAGTCCTTGTCGAAGGAACATTTATTACAATTGTGTTAGAATTTGATCGCTACCTCGGCCGTCGAAATCCTTGTGTATTATTGAGCAACGTGGAAACTGGAATTTCATCGTCGAAAATATCCCTTGAAAGTTATGAAATAATTGTTTGTAAAAAATCTGTGTAGATATTAATACACGATACTGGTTGATGTCGGTTGTATTTTCGATCCACAAAGAATTAGACTTTCGCCGTGCATTACACTTTTCCATAATATTGCAGTATTGTACGTTTGTTTTTGTGTTGTGAAGAACAGAAGTGACTTAAAGCGGAGGTGCCCTTGATGATCTTACGGCCTGCGAGTGAATCAAATCTCGCTTTGCGTTATCGGCATGAATATTTCATGCCGATAAAGAATAAAACGAACTGCCAAAGTCACATAACGCTATGTTCATGATGCTCAGAACGCCGAAAAAGGCTTTCTTAGATTACGTTACGAACCTAAGTTGCCGATTTAACAAAAACTACAATTCTATCGATGTAACACAGTGTTCTTCGCCGAATAAGGACCGCTTCTTATAATCGAATACAACGTTACTCAATATTACTAGCGGCAACCCCGGTTGCAGTATGCTGAGCGTGAAAAATATGTCGCACTCTTTGAGAAATTATAAACTAATATATGAATAAACATAATTATTAGCTTATATTGTATAGCTATATCTTAGCGCGGAACTACACTGAAAAGAAATAAAAATAAGGAATTTAATCATCTTTATACAACTTACAAATATATCAATGTATGAGGAAGCAAATTTTTATTTATTTTAACTAACACATAATTGCAACATTTTAAAAATTGTCTATGTGTACATGATGTTTCATTGTCACAATCTTTTGAACTTGTCGTAGTGACACTTTACATTGCGTTAACCTAAAATAAAATCAGTATTAACATAATTATTAGGCTACATATTTCATATTAATGAAAAGAAATTAGTACGTACTTGTGATTTTTTTCTCAAAGTAGATAGAAAATCAATTTTTTTCCTCGTTGTACTAGATTTACCTATAGCGTCAAATCTTTTCTTATCATAAAATCTAGAGAATACCATGTCATTCAACGTCCTTACTCTACTAAGAGCTACATATGTTAAGCCAGCCGAAAATTCTTTTTCTCCAATATCAATAATAGCCGTAGGTAAAGTCATTCCTTGCGCCTTGTGAATGGTACACGCATATGCCAATTTTAAGGGGAATTGTTTGATTGTACATATTTGTCCACGTTTTTCATACGATCGCATTACTGGTTTAATCGGAAATAAATTGTTATGTATAAATGGTCCATGATACGAGGGAAAGTGAATTAAAATGTAAGAAGGCAAAGTTGGCGGAGATACATTTTCTTCATATAAAATGGCCCGAACTGTACCAATTGATCCATTGACCAAACCACCATAAACCCATATATTTTGTGTTAGCATGACCCTACATCCTATTGCTAAATATAAAGATGGTTCAAGACCACAACAATCATCATTTACCCTATGTACATCTCCAGTTACCAAAGCGTTAATGCGTAGAACAGGTGTACCCAGCTCACGTAAGGAATATTCATTTTTTTTGCGAACCAAGTCATTTGTCGGTATTAAATGAATTGCTCCATTAAATCTTTCCTTTTCATTTTCATCCAATGAAGACATTTTACGCTGTGATAACATGTTATATTCGTCTACAGAAATATCTCCGTTAGCCAAATTATCCAATAATTCAGAGAAAACGAGATCGTTTCCTTGACGATGCGATGTAGATAATTCTATAAATAACTGGAACGATTTGAATAAAATAGCGCCTTTACTTGCCATCGCATCATTAACTGTATTATTGTACAATGCAACATCTTTAACCGGCGACAGTTGCTTATAATCTCCAAACATAAATACATATAACCCTGCAAATGATTCATCACAAGATGGAAATAGTTCATGACATCTGCTTTCTATTTCACCCAAAGTTTTAGCACCTATCATGGACATTTCATCAATAATGAGGAATTTCAATGCTTTATGCTCCAATTGGAAATTTCGCTGTGAGTGACTATTTAACGGTTGAAATTTATTATGAAAAATTGGAATTTTAAAAAACGAGTGAATCGTGCTTCCATTTACGTTTAAAGCTGCAGCACCGGTAGGAGCAACGACTGTTATAGCATCACAACCAAGCGCATCGGTAACTTCTTGAACAATCGCATTGATTAAAGTGCTTTTACCGGACCCAGCTTTTCCCTGTATTATCACACGTTTAATTATCTGATCGGAGATGTCACCTATGTCGGACTGGATGTGATTAATCTGAGTTCTACAAATCTGTATAACTTTCAGTTGTTCCGGAGATAAGGTTAATTCTTTCAGATTACTAGAGTTATTTATCGATCGTGTTGCATTCTCACTTTTAAACATTTTTAAAAATGTATTAATGTCTTGCAAAGAGGGATACAGCTCGTTATGTACACTAGCGGCGTTCCTCGCTCGCTAACGCTCGCTCGGTCTCAGATTGTTTCAAAGAAATTGTAAGAAATATTGGAGGAGTAAGAATATTATAAGACATATTTATGAAATATTTAAATTTTGAACAAACTTAGATGTTGAAACATAATAGAATATAATAGAATCATGTTTATCGATTCATTGAATACAAAATAACCCAAGAACTTGATAGATTTAACTTAACGAAACATCATTTCTCTTTCTCGTCTTAAATATAGTACAGTGACTTTCTAAAAGGGCATTAATTTGTACGTCGAAATAGGTCTATGAAAAATTTGGAGATTAGTAGATTTAAAAAATAACTAAATGAAAAATCTGCTACACTTGAGTGGAAAAGAATTTAATTATAAAAATTTTGAGACCTAAAGGATCATTGATTAAATATTGATTAAATATTATCAAAACCATCTTGACAAGTGTGATGGCTAGTTTGCCACCATCTATTTATTATTAATAAAATATGCCAGCTGACTGAAAGCTAATGACTCGACTCTACTCGCGTTTGTCTCTGGGGTAGGGTGAGATGAAGGAAGGATAACACAGAATTTCACAAGAGACTGTTTATTTAACCTTAACCCTAGTTACATAAATGTTGCTTACTATGTACCGGTGTTCTCTTCGGCGGCGACGATCGGTGCGGTGGCTGAAGGCGTCGGTGTGCTGTCTGTTGTAGGGCGGGCCCGTGACGGTCTGGCCTCGGCTGGTGCGGCGTCAGTGAGGGTAATCGGCGTCGGCGAGATCGGCGTCGAGGAGATCGGCGTCGACGAGGGTGTCCTCGGTGTCGATGAGGGTGTTCTCGGTATCGATTAAGCCGGCACGGTGTCAGCGTGCTGGGCGGCGTCGGTGGTTGCAGGTGCACGGGCTCGCGTACTTTTCGTATTACTAACTCGCACTGATTTTATCTCGTCGGAGCCGAGCAACAGGCTGGCTTGCAAGTAAACTGCGAACTTTGACTCGAGAAGTAAAGATGTACGTGAAGACCGAGCGTCGACGTGCACGCTTCGAACCGAGAATGAACACTGAGCCGACGAGCGTCGATGTATACGCTTTGAACCGAGAACGATAACTGGCCCCGAGACTCTCTGCGTCTCGGTTTATATACTGTTTGTTGCTGCCTTACCCTCTTTGTTTGAGCTAGGGTCACCGTGAACTTTATGTGTCCTCTAGAGCTTGCGGGCTGCGCGTTTTTTCCCATCCGTCGTGTCTGGGATTTTTAGCGGATGCTTGAGCCGTTTCCTTAGTTTCTTTGCTCGCAAGTTGTGACCTGATTTTTGCCAACATCCCGTTTCCTGCCTGAGCCGGTTATCCCATCGCCTTTTTGGCGACGGAGGCATCATAAATTTCGACTTGTAGCTTGCAAGCGCGAGCTATGCTTCACACAAGCTCTTGCCGCTCCACGCGTGTGCGCACTCACACCAGTGCGTACCGCGGCGTACGTGAGTGGGCGCACACTAACGTTTGCTGCTCTATCCGTGTGCGCACTCACACCAGTGCGTGCTGCGGCGTACGTGTGCCGTCGCACACTAGCGTTCACGGCTCTGTCCGTGTGCGCACTCACACCAGTGCGTGCTGCGGTGTACGTGTGCAGTCGCACACTAGCGTTCACGGCTCTGTCCGTGTGCGCACTCACACCAGTGCGCGCTGCGGTGTACGTGTGCAGTCGCACACTAGCGTTCACGGCTCTGTTCGTGTGCGCACTTACATTGGTGCGCGCCGTGGTGTACGTGTGCAGGCGCGCACTGACGTTCGTTGTACTCATCTGTATGCGCGTTCATACAATTTCGTGCCGCGGTGTATATGTGCGGCCGTACACTAGCATGCCCGTTCGGGACTTGGTGTTGCACCGGGCTGTTTGCTGCCCCGGTGTTTTATCTACTCGTAGGGATGCTATGACCCCTGTGACTGGGTCATTACACCTCCCTCGCCTTTAACAAATCACGAGCTCCTGATCGTGGCGGTTTTTTTTGTTTCTTAATCTACTTGGTTGTATACATTTTTTTTTTCTTTTAAATAATAGTCAGATTATGCTACGAGGATTATTTTATTTAGGCGTCGTCGATTACAATTTTCTTACTATCTAGCGGGGTCGTGGGGGTGTTTTTCGCTTATTACAATATTATTTTTGTCAAAAAGAACATCGAGAGAATTTTACTTATTTCCTTACGTACAAAGATCAAAAGAGTTTTTTTTTTTTTTTTTTTTTGTTTAACATTATCTTTTTTAAAACATTGAAAGCATTTTTTTTTGTTTATCATTTACATCATTTTGTAGAACATTGAAAAAGTTTTGCTTATTACTAACCTTATTTTTAAAAGGAAACACTTTCGCTTAAGGCACTTAACATTACTAGGAAAGAGAGGTCGGATTACAATATTATGATTCGGGTTCTCATGCTCATTCTGATATTGCGAGTATTATTACAAAAAAAATTTTACTTGTTTAAAACTTGACTCGCCTGTATTCATCCTTTTAGCCCGCGCTCAGTCGAACAGGTCGAAGAGCAAATTGCCGTCTTCGTAGCGGGGCCGACCGCAGTGGTAACACGTGGGTGGGCCATTTGCCCAACCCCTCTCGTGGCAGCGCTGGAATCGGTAAAGGGTGCCGATGAAGTGTCCGGCGAGGAAGAACCCCACTTCGTTCCCTCTCATTATGAGTTGGAATTGAAAAGGGCCGGCGTCGATGTAAATATGTCGATTTTCGACTAACTGCCCCATCCAGTCGGCCATCGGGTCCGGTGAATGTATTGGTGCCTGTATGTTCTCGGCACCGGCTCCATCCTCCGGGGCTTCGGCTGGCGGTGGTGCTCCGTTGGAAGACATGACAGTATCTTTGATTTCTATTGATCAAATGAGTTCGCCGAGTCTTAATGCCTAGTCTCATTAGCGGCGTGCAGCTGTTTGGCGGCTCACTGATTTTTGAATGTCCGCTCTATTTTGTATACAACTGTGCGCGAGTGTTTCCTTCGCATTCTTTATGTATCCTTATGCGTACGTGTGAGTATTCTATGCGCTTATAAATAGGAGAAGAGCGCGTCTCTTCTTTACAGAATATCGTACAAATTAAATTTATTATGCATGTTACCGTACATAATTTCTTTCCCATGCCTTCGATGGACCCTCGGATTTTTTTTTCCTTAATCCTATCATCCGCGCTTCGAGCTGCTCTCATTTGTCAGTCTAGAAGCGCGAATTGTCTCTGTGAAATGTTTTTTTTTTTGAGTGACGTTTTATGTATATTTTTTTTTTTGGATCTACGTACTGCTCCTTTCCCGTCGACCTAGCCGTGGTACGTGCTTACGCGCTGTTTCTCGCTTCCGATTCGTCTAGCGTTCGTCTGTCATATTGTTAATTAAATTCGCTTTTTATTACCTTTCTTTCCCCGTAAGTCGCAATCTTTGGTATCTTCCCTCACGCGTAGGAGTTAATTTTTGGTGGAAAGGGGGTTTTTGTGTGCTGTATAAAGGGACAGGGTTTGCGCGCTCGCCGTATTTTCAAGCAAAACTTCAATTCGACAACATGTATCTAACTTTCGCTCAGGTTTGTGCTATATTTTTTTTTGTACTTATAAAATGCAAAGAGAAAGGAAAATTTCCTTTCCCTTCTTTGTCATTTACTAAAAGAATTTATTTGACTTTTGTTATTTCCTTGTGTAGGGAGAAGAGGAACGCAGACGCGTTACGTTGTATCGTTTGCTTGAGCAGTTCGAGCGGCTTGTATCTCACTTCGGGTGGTCATATCTAGCGGCCCCGTTCATACGCGGACTACAGGAGCTCATTAGGGTGCTCTACCCTCCGCCCGTTTTCGAGGGGCCCGTGTGTCACGATGTGAATTCTGCGGGGTACATGTGCCCTATCTGCCTTCGTACGCGTTTTATGAGACCGCCCTCTCTTCGTCTGACTCCAATGTATGATACTCATATGCTTGCGCCGACCGATTACTTCAATTATTGCCTCCCTGCTAATAGTGTTGCTGAGGCTCATATGACTTTGTGGAGTTAGTTAGTGTGTGTTGGTGCAAAGTGCTATTGTTTGTGTAATTATTCGTGCGGATAAAAAAAATACTCTGTATGTGAAATTGTTTATGTACAGTTTGTGTTAACTATTGTTTTTTTTTTTTAAACGTATTAAAGGAATGTTTAAATTAATATTCGATCTCTAAAGTTGTCTTTTTACTGTTCACCGTCTTTTATTTTATATAATTTTTTTTGCTTTCCTTCCTAGTGCCGGCTACCGCGTTGTGTAAGATGATTAACGATGGATTATGATCGCGAGGCCTTCGTGTGTATTTCTTTTTTTTTTTTGAATAGTATATATATCGGGGGTCAAACCTACAAAAGTTCATCTTCTCGTGTGAGCGCATTTTTCGATGGCATAAATGCCTATATACCGTCGGCTCGCATTACGCACTGTGATCGTCTGCTGTGCCAGCTGTATGAGAATGCTATAGCTGTTGCTCGCGGCCGAGGCCCGCCGTGCCTGTCTCTTCTTCTTCGCGCGCGCATCGGTCTGTTGCATGTCTATGCCCATGGCGACGTAGGAGCATAGGCAAATGCCGTTTGCTGGCCCCGCGGGTGGACTGCGTTGGGCTCTCTTTCACTTTCTTACTCGTGCGATCGTACTTGAAATGCATCCTCACGGTTTATGCGTATAAATCACGAGATTTCACGGCCCTCATGCGTGTTGTCAGTTTTTACCGATGTTCGCTTGCAGTTTTAGCCTTTCGCTTTTTCCCTTTTCTAACTATACTATACTAATCATTCAATTAAATTTATGAGACTAAATTTGTCCGTTACTTGTATACGCAGTATACTCCCCTCCATTGCCCCTTAATTTTTTGACTTTTGCGCGGTGCTCTTTTCAATTATACTCATTTGCTTTAATCCGTTTTCCTTCTCTTCTCCCCCTCTCTTTTTGA